TAGTGCTTTTCAATCTTTCAAGCGGTGTAAATGATAATATAATATAATTCACTATTAGTTATTTGACAATAGTTTAGAGCAGTTATCACAATCAATTAAAATAACAAGAGCACACAAAAATGCTATACGTTAACCACAATTCGGGTAATGCTTATAAAATATATTAGTATTAACTACAAATTTAAGGTGAGACTTTAGACCTATAGACTTGCCATAAAATAATATTGTCTATAAGTTTAGCACGAGTCTCGTAGAGTTATCATTAGCCCATTAATTTAACATTATTCATGTTAAACATATGTCATAGATTTCTATCTGCAATGTTGCAAAAATACTTTCTAAAAATACATTCAATCTTAATGTTGATTGGCCACTGTGTCATTTCACACTGTTTGATTGACTATAACATTGGCGCATAAAATGCTATTTCAAACATTGCAGATCTATAGTCATAGACTTAAGATTTGTCCATTAATTAAAATTACACATAGGATAACATTAGCCCATTTAAAAGTATACCCATAGACTAAAGCTGTAATTTTGTTTTTACATAATTTTATTTAATCTTATATATAATGAAAGTTTATGTAAGAACAGCACCAATTGGTAAATAAGGCATCGAAATAACTTTTCGGAATTTGTTTAGGACGTAATTTTTTTGACCAAATTTAGCCGAAATTTTTTAATTGTTGGTTTGTTTTGATACTATGTTTATTGACCTACAAATCAATGCCATTCATTTGTCTGCCCCACTTCGGCTTTCGGACTAATCCACTCCCGAAGAGGTCGACCGCCGAAATGGGTCTGGCACAATGACCATGGCACTTTTAAAATTCGAGTTAATAAGATGGGCTAAAGTTATTTGTTACAAAGATTAGATAAAGAAAATAACATTTCGCTATAAATTTCAACATTTGATCGGGCCAATTAAATTATTTGGCCACTTTTAGTTGTCAAAAATATTGATTCTCATTGGATAGCATTGCCAAAGCTATTTCGGCGGTCGACCTCTTCGGGAGTGGATTACTCCGGGAGCCGAAGTGGTGCCGACAAATGAATGGCATTGATTTGTAGGTCAATAAACACTGTTTCAAAACAAACCAACAATTAAAAAATTTCGGCTAAATTTGATCAAAAAATTACGTCCTAAACAAATTCCGAAAAGTTATTTCGATGCCATACATGACCCCCTAAATAAACTATGATTTGATTTGAAAAAATTTAAAGTCGACGCATTTTCCAAATTGTGGATTACGTATAGCATCGCGCGTAAGCCTTGATTTTCTAGACGCTTTGTTATATTGTACAGTATATAAGAATGCTACTTTATAAAATTTTGTAGGCTAAGTAATCTTTGCATTTGAAATTTGAGACTCATTTTAACTCCAATTTATTGATTAAAATTAAACGAAATTATTTTAATGATATGATTTGATGAGAAACAGTATTTATTAAGTGACAAAACAATGTCAATCATTTGTCTGTATCATATACTTTTAATACATGTTTTTTTATGTACTGTATGTAATTTTCATAGTATTATACACGTATTTTACATGCGCAGATTTTTCATTTTGTAAAATACATCATTAAAAAATTTATTGGTAAAATTATTTAAATAATTTTACAAAACTTGGGTAAAATGTTAGCACACTTGTTATTTGTCTATTATTGTAAAAATAATCATTAATTAAAATGAGTAAATAATAGCCACAATCAATTATTTGGAACTATTTTACAAAAACCGATGATAAAAATTGTTGCAATTTTATCAAAAATCAATAAATGGAACAGATTTAATTGCCGAATGTGAAATAATTAGTAATTAAAATGTTATAAATGTATAATTAATGTCATAATTGCAATAAAAATGTTCAATTTTGAGGGAATAAAATACGTTAATTTTTAACCACAATTCAGTATGAATAATGTGGTTATAGTATCGTTTTGCTCCCCTCCCCCTTTTGCTCTATGGGATTTAACATGGGATTACAAAAAAATGCACGTAATATACATGTCATTTTATTTATTAAAGGGAAACAAGAATCACATGGCGATGGCTATACTTTAACATGGGAAAGCTCTAATAGGATTAACATGGGGAGGCGTTAACACGAATCTCTATTGGATTACAGCTTAAATCTATGTCATAGGAATAACATGGGTAATGCTAAGTCTATGACAATGATAAGTCTATGGGTAATATTAAGTCTATGGACAATGATAAGTCTATAGACAAAGATAAGTCTATGGCATAGAAATAACATGGGTAATCCTGTCATAATAAATAGAACTAATTGTTGTCAAATTGTGTTTAAAGTATAGCATCGCCATGTGATTCTTGTTTCCCTTTAATAAATAAAATGACATGTATATTACGTGCATTTTTGTATTTTACAATGTAAATTACATAGCCTCAAAAAAAATCTTTGTAATTTACCAACCAACCAATTAACCAGTATTTTCATTAGTAGAGATTGTATTGAAATAAATGGTATAAGTGAACGCCTAAAAAACAAGGCCAAACAGTCTGTGGTTTGTATGTTTAGTGGTTAAGAAGTGATCCTCTCCCAAAGAAATCCACTTCCGAAATAGCTTTGGCAATGTTATCCAATGGCAATCAATATATTTAACAAATTAATGTGATGAATTGACTGGATAAATTGGTATAATTTATATCTATTTGTTATTTTCTTTATCTGATCTTAATAAAATACAATTTACGGCATTTTAATATCTCTTTTTAAAAAGTGCCATGGTCATTGTGCCAAAGCTATTTCGGGAATAAACTCCTTCGGAAGAGGATTACCCTAAACCACAAGACATACAGACAAATGAATGGCACTGTTTTGTCACTCACTAAATGCTGTTTCTTATGAAATTATCATTTAAAAATTTTCTATTAAATTTGACCACTAAATTTGTTTTGTAGTCATTCTCATATTTTAAATGCGGGCGCTAATTAATATTGTAACATTATGTATAACGATATTAGGTTTGGATAACTATCGCATTATTTGCATTTCTTTTTACTGTATTAATAAAATGCCAATATCCTCATCACACAAATTTGAAGCATGCAATAATAGACATGTTCAATCTACTAATTATGCAACCGAATAATTTACTTAATAAAATAATAAATTTAAAAATCACTGGAATATCAATGATTGCATTGATTTATATCTGGATTTTAAGTTCACTATTAATAACAATATTTTATTGCAACGATTTATTGGACTCTTATATTAACGTACAATTCGTGCCAATAGTGAACACAATTGAAGATATTTTAAACAATAACGAGATTAATGTAATTTTAAATAAACCAATCATTAATTCAATTGCTGAAGACATACCACACATTACTCACACAATGAATGCACTCATTGCTAGACATAATAGATTCGAACGAATAATGAATAAAACATATGATAATATTATTTTTGATATTATTATTTATAATGATGCATTCCGGGAAATGCTAGCCGGGAATGTTATTATATTAAAAGACTCTTATAATTTTGAGATGACTATCTTTAATCAAATTTATGGTAATCTATATTCGATTAGTGAACAGAAATATTTTTATCAAATGGCATATTATTTAATTTTTATAAATGGTCTTGATTGTATGCAACAAATAGTTATGATGTAAGTATACTATACACGTATCAAGATGTTCAATTTCGTAATGTATTGTTAATGACAAATTATTTATAAAAATGTGGTTTATTCTAGCGCAATGCATATCCTTATTCAGTATAAAAGAATTTAACACAGAATTATAGATTCACTCTATGGCTATACTTTAAGTCATAAAATATTGTCATATGATATAAATATTATTTTTCACAAAGACGTTTATTTAGGTTTCTATACAATTGCATCTTAAGTCTAGGACATAGATTTAACATGGGTATTGCATTATCTATGGAAAATGTTTATTCAATGGAATTAATGCTATTTTATGAATAATGTTAAATCGGGAATATTCTTATACAACATTGCCGCTTGGCCATGATCTTGATATGGTCTGGTCCAGTAGATCCAAATGTTGTATAAACCGTGATCAAAATCTACCAATGGCCAGTGGCTGCAGAGTTATGGCCAGTTTTGTGATCACGCAAATAGTGTTTATAGCATTGGATTTTGGTGATTACTCATGATTTGTGTGAAACATCTTTTTTCAATGCTATAAACACTATGTATGTAACGACTCTGCAGCCACTGGACATTGGCAGATTTTGATTAAGGTTTATACAACATCTGGATCTACTGAATCAGACCATATCAAAATCATGGCCAAGCGGCAATGTTGTATATGAATAGTCCCAATTAAGTCCATTGTAATGATAATGGTCACGAAAAATTAGCACATTTAAATTGTTCAACGATGTGCGCTACAATCTAATGTTTAATTGATTCACTATTTTACCTACCTTACGTGGTTTAATTAACAGTATATAGATTTTCTATCTAAACAATTGTTGTAAATATGTTTGTAATAATTGTTTAAATAACAATTTTAAGTTTATCTAATTAAATTCCAGTTACATCGTTTCATAATTATTAAATAACCGATATTTATAAATACATATATTTTTAATAGGTTTAAACGCGGTCTGGAATGTGGATTGAATAATCACCATGATATAATTCATAGGATTATCTTAAAAAATTATATTTTACAAAATATACGAAATGATAGCGAAATGGTTTCAACAAATGATAACACATATAATGACATAACAATCGTTGATATATTTCTAAATGCATTCCCGCTGTTAATCATCGGATGTTTTGTTGCATTTATAATAATATCAATTGAATTAATTTCAGACAATATATCCATTATTTATGCATTTATTATATCTATTCTAGTGTTCGTCAAAAACATTACATTTGGTTTGATTCAAAAGTCAATTAAATTAATCGATTATTTTGTCCGATGTTTTACATTATAGTCATTCAATAGCAAAGAATCAGTGGACCAGTTGTCAGGTATTACAGGTGTATAACTAATGGTCGATATAAATACATGTATATATAATTTCACCAAACAATACACACAATTCTATGTTTAATAAACTATTTTATTTACACTTCAGTTAACAATAACTTTTATTATGTAAAACTTATGACACAAAATTAAATGTTTTTGAGTTGTTTGTATTTTTAAATAATACTTTAATTAAAAATTAATTCTTATAATGATTATGATTTTAGCAATATTATAAATGTGAATTGTATAATTTAAATTAAAGCTTACTTAATTCAAAACTTGTGCGATTCTTATTATAATTAATAGCATTTATTGTTTAAAATTTTATTTTTTAATTAATGTTTTACTAAATGTAATTAATTTCTATTAATATCGGTTAATAATTAATTAATAAAATTAATCAAAGAATTCCTTGAAAAGTGGTCCATAATATTGAAGTGAATTTTCTTTAATATCCATTTTTTCCATTTCACTAACAATTTTAAATTCATTTAATATAATCATCAGATTCTGTAGTCTTGTCTGTGATTCCGATTCCGAGCGGTATTTCAAGAGTAGATATCTTTGCAGTAAATATATATACAGTTGTTGTTCGAGTCTAACATACAATTGAAATTAAAAAATAATTTACAAAATAATTACATTTATTATATGTATGGAAATATAATGTAATGAATGCATACTTTATAGCAGTTGTATGCGATATGTTTGGCACGTTTGGGTTGAAGAGTGTAATCGCTGTTAACTATATTTTCAATATAAACAAGAATAGCATTAATTAAATAACAATTATAATGTAATGAATGCATACTTTATAGCAGTTGTATGCGATATGTTTGGCACGTTTGGGGTGAAGAGTGTAATCGCTGTTAACTATATATTCAATATAAACAAGAATGACATTAATTAAATAACATTTATTAAATGACCATAATTTATAAATATAACAACCAATTCCATAATAATGGGATCCATTTGCCAAACGGACATTGTTTTATTTATAAATTTTTTAACAGTATTATATAATCCAGCATGGTCTTTGGAAATATCATCCAGTTTAAAGCACATGCAAGATTTTGGGTCCTAATAAGTATAAAATATGCATTATGGTAGAGAGAGAGAGAGAGAGAGAGAGAGAGAGAGAATGAAATGTCATACCAAGGGAAAAGTATAAGTTTTCTTTTCTGTATTAAAATACATTAAAGTCCGCAAAAAAGTAATGTCTAAGAATTGGCTCTTCATAAGCAAGTATTGATCACTTTTGCAGATATTTTTGAAACTATTTATAAATTTAATAAATGATACAAAGTTTTGAACGTGTGTTTCTGTGGCCGGGGCTGCCATTCGGATCAAATGGTCCTTATTTTGAACGTGATAATGTAATAGTCGCTAGCCTATCAAATATTATAACCTACGTAAATTGTCGAGAGCGTATGCCAAACTGAGGTTAACTAAGTTTGGCAATATTAGACAGTTGAGAAACTTATGCCCTTGGTTATGTAATGGCAATGAGTTTTGTATTATATTCTCATCATTAGTATAATCTTTGTTTAATGTGTTTTCAATTTCCAGTATCTGTTTATTCAATGCGATATCCGTTATATAACTTTGAATACGGGAACCAATTGTAATGGCAATGAGTTTTGTATTATATTCTCATCATTAGTATAATCTTTGTTTAATGTGTTTTCAATTTCCAGTATCTGTTTATTCAATGCGATATCCGTTATATATAATGTACTGTCAATGAGTTCATCGACTTCTTGGCCAACGGTTTGGTCAGAGATTTGTGTGTTATTTGAGTCCACGTCTGACATATTGTGTACAGAATTTGTTTGAATACTTTGTTCAGATTTTTGCTTATTTTCTTCAATCAATTGTCGTCTTCTCTTATTTTCTTCGTCTGAATTCATTATTTCCTGAAAAATATAAGTATTTATTACAATAAATTCAATGATAGAAACAAAATGATGTTTACTTTTCTCATTCCGACTGCAAAACACTTATTAAGTCTACATTTTTGGCAATACTTTCTTGTATTGGGAGTGATATTACATTTGCCTTCAAAACCGCATTTCAATCGCTATTTAAATAAATAAATTAAAATAATAGTTAATTATTGTTTTTATAACAAACATTTTCTTTGAACGCATTTCTCCTGAAAAATGTTTTACACGAATCGCAAGTAATTGCTGTGAAATGTCGGCCTAAATATGGGGTAAATAAAGAATTATTATATGAATTAATTATAAACATTGAATTTCATCACAAAATACATACCAATAGTTTTAGTTCCGCCACAAATCATGCAAACAATTATAGTATTCTTATTGGCATTCATTTTGCTATTAAATAATAATGAAATATAAAATACCAGTAAATGTTTGGCAATTCTGGGAAATCAAAGTACAAAATATCGTCAAAATATAATACACAAGAAATAGTTGTCAAAGCAATAGATAAGCGCAACTCATGTAATCATTTGATAAGACATTACAATGTAATTACCTTTTATAAGTTTGACTTTGGTTATTTTTTGGATTTTTAACATACTGCTAACTCTTGTTTTTCAAACAAATAATCACAATTAATATAATAATTCATGTTACAATCATGAATTAATTATTATGTTATAATAAGTTTATAGAGTATCTTAAATTATTATTAAAAATAATAGTAGCAACAAAAAAGTATGAGAACAAAACATTATATAACTGGAAACCAGTTCCAGGATATTGATATAAATATGTTATCTGCTAGATACATGCTATAATTATGCTTACAAGTAGATTCAAATATAAACTAATAGATGTAGTTAGTTAGATAAAAGTAAATGCATAATAAATCCATAACATGTTGTTTATATAACAACTTTATGACATTTAAGTACTCAAACACTGCGCAAAACAACGCTATACGAAGTGTTAGCGATGGCAGAGATTGATAAATATTGTATTACATATTCGCGTATATAATCTAGTATTTAGTTTATTATTATTGAATGTTTATATAAATCTGTCATTTATTATTGTACGTCAAAGGATGTGTAATTTTAAATCAATTGTGACCTTGTTCAATTAATTGTCAAACCAAATGTGAGTATAATTATTGTCTTAAATAGCATTATAAATTTGTTATTTGCAAAATTTTGCTGATTTTCCGGTAATGACTATTCATATAAAATAAATGTTTATATATTTCTGTTTATAAATAATTACTTTATAATAATTTTCTTATTATATGAGAAATATTTTGATAATTTTTAAAATGTTATATGAATTAAAATATAATTATTTGAACATTTTTAGACATTAGGTATTTCGCGACGACTATCAAAATGAGTGACAAAAATGATGAGAAAAGTGTTAATAGTGTTGAGAAAGTCTTTGCAATTGAAGAGTTGGTGATAAAGATCTTCTCATACCTCGAGATCCATGAGTTGTTACCTCTGGAGAGAGTCTCAAATCAGTTCCAGTTTTGCGCCGACTATTGGTTTACACAACAGAAGAGCATTGCATTCAACGAGAAGTGGTGTGGAATTGATTACAATAAGCCTAAGTTTGATATCATATCAAATCGCTATACATTTCCCAAACAATATCTTGAGACCAACTCTGATGGAAAGCTGTGTCTCATAAGAAACAAAGAGCGGATCATTTGTCTGTCAAAAAAGTTACCAAACATTGAGTACTTAGGAATCGGTCACTTAGACACTGATTACCAGACATTGTATGATATTCTCGAAGCGTTTCAATCAATCAAATGGTTAGAAATGTGTGGTCTGAATGACTTCACGGCTCAAGAGTTTCAACAATTGGGACAATTATTGTTGGGAAGAGTCACCAAATTATTGACAAATATTTGTACTATTAATTCAGACAATATATTTAAAATGATACGAGAAATTAAAGCATTGGAAAAATTATCCATAAATTTTAATGAAAACGAAAGTATTGAAGAATTATTGAAATGTTTGCCTAAAAGTATTAAATCATTGGACATCTCATCAGACGATCAGATGATAATCAATGACTTAGATGTGACCACACTTTTGGAAAGCAATGCAAAACATTTGCAATATTTATATGTATTAAATAATGTGGTCTCCAAAGAAGCGCTGGAACTGATCATCAATGGTATGACATTGAAAGCGTTTACATATTGTTTCTATAATAAATTAAATGAATGGCAATGTCTGCAAAAATTGGCCCAAAAACAGACAAATCTTGAATATCTTGGTCTCAATTCTCAAATGTTTCCTGATTTTCAGTACTCAACAAATATTATTGATTTCCCAAAAGTTAAAACCCTTTGTCTCTATCATTGCAAACCTAAAGAAGAGGCATTCGTATCGCTATTGAGATGTTTTCCAACACTAAAAACACTTTCATTGGAGGAAACATACATTGCTTGCGATCACAATGAAGATGAGGTTTGTTTGGCATGTTTTAAGCAAACTTATGATTTGATTGCAAAACACACAACAATTGAAACACTGGTTATATATTGCAAAGAATTGTATGACAAAAAAGCCGTTTTGTGTGAAACACTTAATAAGTTTCACAATTTATCGGCCATTCATTTGAATTATTGTTGTGTTTATACCCTCGAAGTGTATACAAAAGGTTGTCATCAATTCATAAATGATTTTATCGATTGCTATTCAAAAGAGTCGAAGAATTTCACAATTTGTGTTCACAATAATACCGGAGATCTAAGTAGTGATCAACAAATACCAAGAAATGTGAAAATCAGTAAAATTTTGTGTTGAAACCAATGTTTACTTTTTATATTAACTTATAAAATATTTTTATGAATTGTAAGTTATATAAATTTTAATTAATTTTTTATTAAATAGTTGCATTGAATACAAAATATTTATAAAAATAAAACTTTAAAATAGGTTTTGTAAATATAATTTTTATATAAAAGTTATTCATAAATGTAAGCATGTTTTAATTGTTGTAATATTTAAATTTTTGCAATAAACGTATTTTAAAAATTGTATTACAAAAGCGTATATTAATTTAAATAAATCATTCAAAATGAGTGCCGAAACCGACGGCAAAAGTGGTAAACATCTGAAGACAGTTGTCTTGAATCACGATATAGTGATTGAGATCTTCTCATACCTCGAGATCCATGAGTTGTTACCTCTGGAGAGAGTCTCAAATCAGTTCCAGTTTTGCGCCAACTATTGGTTCCGCAAACAGAAGAGCATTGCANCGAGATCCATGAGTTGTTACCTCTGGAGAGAGTCTCAAATCAGTTCCAGTTTTGCGCCAACTATTGGTTCCGCAAACAGAAGAGCATTGCATTCAACAATTGTCTGGAAGTCTCACAATTCACACATAAAGACGACGTAATGTCAGAAACCTTTTTGTATTTATTTCCCAATCGATATCTTGAGACCCATTCGGACGGAAAGCCATGTCTTATAGGAAGCAAACAAAGGATTATTTTGTTGGCAAAGAAGTTGCCAAACATTGAGTACTTAGGAATCAGTAACTTTACCGCCAATTACAGGACAGTATATGAGATTCTCGAAGCGTTTCAAAACATTAAGCGGTTATTACTGTCGGGTTTTACTGACTTTACGGATGAAGAGTACCGACAATTGGGACAACTCTTGTCGGGAAGAGTCACACAATTTGTGACAAACATTTGTGGCAATCAAACAGAAAATGTCATTCATATGATTGTGGAGATGAATGGATTGACTAAATTATATGTAGATCTCATTGGACGCGAAGACATCGCAAAACTATTTAAATGGTTGCCTCAGAGTATGCAATCGTTGGACATTTGGTCTTATAGTGAGATTGATATTGACATTCAATTGGCAATAAATCTGGTGGAAAGCAATGCAAAGCATTTACAATATTTATATCTCGAGAATATTTTCATCACCGAAGAAGCGCTGGACCTCATCATCAATGATATGTCATTGAAGGCATTATCTTATAGTTTGGATAACGTAGCAAATGAATGGCAATATTTGCAAAGATTGGCACAAAAACAGCTAAATCTGGTATATCTGGGCCTATATTGTAGTCCTTTCATTGATTATCACTATTCATCAAATTTGGTACACTTTTCAAAAGTAAAAACTCTGAGTCTCTATGACTGCCATCCAAATGAAGAGGCGTTTGTATCGCTATTGATATGCTTTCCGGTACTGAAAACACTGATATTACGAAAGGTATCCATCGATTGTGGTGTCGGTAATGACGAAAACTGTTTGACATGTTTTGGGCAAACGCTTCGTTTGATTGCAAAACACACGACAATTAGAGTATTGAGTATTTATTACAAGGATTTAACTGAAAAGACAGCCGTTTTGTGTAAACAACTCCACGAGTTTCACAATTTATCGACAATCCATGTATATTTTGGGAGAAAATACATTATCAAAGTTTACGAAAACAATTGCCACGAATTGATCAACAATTTTATCGATTGGCACTCAAGAGATCTGAAGAAGAGGTTCACAATCTGTATTCATAAGAGAGTTACTCAAGACTTTTCACTCAAACTTCAAATACCAAGACATTTGAAAATTAAAAGAAATCTGTAATTAAAATAGAAATGTAGTTATTTTGAAATTTTGAAAATTTGAAATAAAAAATGTTTATGATGTAATTAAATAAAATCAAGCCAAACAAAAGTGATGTTAGTTTTGGCTAAAACTAAATAATTTTAGTTAATAGTTAATAGTTTGTTACAAACATGAAAGTTTCATGATGAAACGATTGATAAGATATAATACTGTAAGTATACATGTATATTTCAATTTAGAAATATTATTTATATAAAATTATGACAACAAAACATTACATAATAGCATATAAATGATGTCATAATAACAACGATAGTATGTCGTTTTATTATAATAAAAAGTACATGTATATGTGTTAGTATATAAAGTAAAAGTATACTGTAGAATCTACAGTGTAGATAGTTAATACTAATTTCCTAACAACGAGGGAGAGTTTTAATAAAACTTGTGATTATATGATTTTTTCGATATTTTCAATGTATTGCATATTCGCGTCTGTAATACATGTAATCAAACGCTTAGTTAATGTTTATTAGTGTTTATATTTAAACGCCATTTAATATTGTTTCATATATTTAATTAAATTTAATTATTGCCCATGTTGAATTTAATGGCAAAATAATTGTGAGTATAATTTGTAATAGATTAAATATTTGGACAAACTTGTTTTAGCGAATGAATTCCAGTTTTTGACAATTTGTGTCTATTTAATATCAGAGTATAATGTTGGCAACTATTAAAAGGTATTTTGACTACAAATTATAAATAATAATTGTTTATTTAATTAACACATATTTCTATTAAATTTTTAATCAATTAAAGGTATTTCAGGAGTAAAAAGAGTGCTAAAAGTGATGTGAAAAGTGTTAATAGTGTTGACAAAGTGTTTGGTTTAGAAGAGTTGGTGATAAAGATCTTCTCATATCTGACTATCGATGAGTTGATTGGTTTGAAAGAGTCTCAAAACAGTTCCAGTTTTGCGCCGACTATTGGTTCCGCAAACAGAAGAGCATTGCATTCAACGAGAAGTGGTGTGGAATTGATTACAATTATCCTAAGTTTGACATCATTTCAAATCGCTATACATTTCCGCCAAAATTTCTTGAGACACAATCGGATGGAAAACTTAGTCTTATTTTAAACAAAGAGCTGATAATTTGTTTGTCAAAGAAGTTGCTAAACATTGAATATTTAGGAATTGGTCACTTTGACACCGATTTCCAGACATTGATTCATATTCTCAAAGCGTTTCATTCAATCAAATGGTTAGAAATGTGTGGTTTGACTCAATTTACGAATGAAGAGTACCGACATTTGGGTCTACTCTTATCGGGAAGAGTCACCAAATTATTAACAAATATTTGTACTATTAATTCAGACAATATAATTGAAATGATACGAGAGATGAATGGATTGGAAAAATTATATATAAGTGTCTCTGAAATCGAGACTATTTCTGAATTATTCAAATGTTTGCCTAAAAGTATGAAATCATTGGACATCGGATCAAAAGATGAGATGATAATTGATAAACAATTGGTCACAACTTTGTTGGAAAGCAATGCAAAACATTTGCAATATTTATATCTATTAAACAATTTGCTCACAGAAGAGGCACTGGAACTGATCATCAATGGTCTGGATTTGAAAGCGTTTACATATTGTTTGAACAGTGAGTTTAATGAATGGCAATATCTGCAAAATGTGGCCCAAAAACAGACAAATCTTGAATATTTATGTCTTTATTATCAAAATTTTGTTGATTATAAATACTCACAAAATACTAGACATTTCGCAAACGTTAAAACCCTTTGTCTCTATCACTGCAAACTTACTGATGAGATATTTGTATCGCTTTTGGGATGTTTTCCAACACTAAAATCACTTTCATTGGACGGAACACACATTGCTTGTGATCACAATGAAGATGAGGTTTGTTTGACATGTATTGAGAAAACGTATGGTTTGATTGCAAAACATACGACTATTGAAACACTGGTTATTCATATGAAAGATATGTCTGGAAAGACAGCCGTTTTGTGTCAAACACTTAATAAGTTTCACAATTTATCGGCCATTTATTTGAATTATTATTGCATTTATAATCTAAAAGATTATACTAAAGATTGTCATCAATTCATAACTGATTTAATCGATTGCTATCCGAAA